GAAAACATTACTATTACTTGGCAATCACAATGATCAGCCATTTTTATTTTTGTATGTGATGCTTAATTTTCATTTTTGACTTTACTTCTGTCCCTGCCTCACCATGTCTTTACACTTTTTTTTCTAATGAGCCCAGTATACACACACCGAACCACATACCTGTTAATGTGCACACATAGTGACTGATCATTTTCATGCACAGCCAGGTATGACGTGGAAACCTGTAACTTCCCATGGTCCAGTGGGCCATATACTCACCCTTATGCTCATGTCCAGCTTATGACATAGCCTGCTGTCACTTTATCACCCCCTTGGTCTCCCTCAGCATATCCTTTTACCTCCTTTCTCGCCTGTGAAGCAAATGAGAGGCTAAGCTGAGGACATGAGATTAGCTAATATTCACCATCTGGCCATGTACATTTTCCAATAAGTTGGTGTCTGTATGTTTATTAGCACTGGGATCTGGGCTTCATCCCTCCACTGGGAATCATGTTTAAGATGTAGCTGCTTTTTGTCCAGCATTAGAACAAACTGGCCCTGGATACAGTATCTATCGTAAATGTCCTCATCAGATGACCTGCTGTTTTTGCAGCATCATACTTGCAGTGCAAACAGAGTCAGGGTTGATGTGGCACTCTCTAGTGGAGCAAGAAGTTACCTGGGTGTGTACAAGAAATGTTGTCGAGCAGTTTGTCCATGTGACCTCTCTTCAAAGGGATGAGCTTTGTCTGCTCCAATAAAACTGGTAAATTCACCTTTTATTAAATAGGTCATGTATTTTTTTTATTTATGAGAAGTATTATATCTCAGATTTCTACTGACCTCAATAGGTGCAGTTGCTCACTTTGTTAGGAAGGTCTATTAACTGTAAAAGAATCTCCTTGTGGGTTTAAAGGAGTGCTTCACTGATTTTTACTCATACATTTTAGTTTAACTATCCTGAGGAGCACTACTCAGTCTGTGAAGGTGGGTTTAAGAAGCTCTAATGAAACACACTATTGATTTACTTTATGAGAACTGTAGGGTGCAGTGGGTTTGAGCTTGACTCCCACAGGAGACTTATAATAAGGCTGTCTCTGTTTCTGCTGCATTGACTTTGGCCATTATTTTTTGAATGTGTCTTTTGTGAGTCCCACAACTTTATCGCAGTGCATGAATATTGGTTTTGTGTCCTACTACTTAAGAAATAAAATGTTTATACACTTATTACTGTAAATGGTATGAAAACAGCAAAATGCTGATACAAAAGCTTTCCTGTGTAACCCTGTGCATTGCGCAGTTTAGATTTGCAGATTGGCTGAAGATCATAACATGAGCTATAAATCAGTAAAAGAGAAGGAGGTGTCCAATCATTAGCAATATTTTGAATGTAGCTCTAAGTAATGAGTCATATGTTTTTTGGCCTCTGACATTTTAACAAACCTGTTTTGTTGGCTGTCTGAGCTCTGATTGTTCTGTTTGACCTGCTAACAAGTCTGGCACAGTTGATTTATGACATTATCTTTAGGGTTACACTGGAAAAGCTGTAAAATAGCTTCTGATTATCCTTTAAAAAGGCACAAAACCTGATTTAAAATTACTGAAAGGAAGTATTTGTCAGTCTAGAGCTGAATATTTGCAGTTTTGGCCAGCTCTTTTTGGGAAAGCATGAAGTTAGCATATGTTATGTTCCTTTATTGTAATGTACTGTGTTATTTTGCTTATGCAGTGTAATAATGTGTTGTGTGCTCTGAATCAAAGGCATCTGAAGCACCTCTCTCCCCTCTGCCCTCTCCCCTAAGACCAGATGGTGTCTCTTTAGGCCTCCTAATGAATATTGTTATGAGAGGTCTTGGTTAACAACAGGGGCGTACACAGGCTGAGCCAGAGACTCCCAAAATTTGCACATTGTAAAGGTCTGCATTGAGGATACTGTGTGTGGAAGGGGTTTATTTTTGAAGAAAAACTGAATGTTTGGAATTTAAAGAGCCAGGTCACTCTGAAACAAAGCTGTTTTCTTATGCACATAAGCTCCGATGTGTCCCATTATTGGTAAAGTGTCTTGCAGAAATGAATATGGATTAGGACTTGGTGAGTATGAATTAGTTGCCTGAGTGATGCCACCCTGAAGATACTTCAAAATTTGACTGAAGTAAAGACATGGTATTAAAAGAATTGCAATAGAGTAAAATTTAAAGAAAAAATATGATGGGTGGAGGGAAAACAAATGTCAGGAAAGAGGGAGCATAGGGTGAAGAGATGGGCAGGTTAAGATACTGGCAAATTTAATCATCTGGCCTGGCTCCCATGTCTAAAGTTGCTCTCCAGAAGGACTCAGCTTACTCCAGCCCACACTCACCTTGCAACTGATTCACTGCCAGCACCCTGGGCTGGTCCGTCTGACCCTGGACACTATTGGAGGAGACTTCCTTACTGGAGAACTTAGTTTCCCCATCTTTATTTTCAAGTGCCAGGTTGAAAATGTGTTGGTGCAATGTGAGTAAAATTTTCACTGTGATGACGCAACCTTTACTGTCAAATGTAGCCTCTGTAGCCCTTAAATAATATGACAGAGTAAACCAAATTCTTTTTTTGACAACGAAGTGGGGATCGCAATGGAGAGAGCCAGGGTGAGTGCCAAACAGAGGAGGGAGAGAGAGAGCAGAGGGGGAAGGGAGGAGGGTATGAGGCCCAGGGATAAGGCAGCTGGGACAGGCTGCTTTGGCTGAAAGCAGATCTCATTGTGTACTTGTCCTTCCTGATTTACTCAGACACTCTGCCGGAGGAGGAGAGAGCTTCTCACTGACAGCAGGCCATCACGGACACTAACAGACAAACGGCTATTCAGAGCATCTATATCTTCTTTGTCAAAGAAACTGATTTTATCACCACTGACAGAAGAAGGAATTGTTGGACACTGTTTTCTTTCATTATTTAAGACTAGATTTTGTATATGCAATGGCACTGGTGTAGGCATGGTGGTCTACTTGACGAAGCGCATCCACTCCCTGCTGTCTGTCTTCAAAAAGAAGGGTGAGTGCTGACTCACATGGTGGAGTTATGGCAGACTGTAGCTCTGACTTTAGAAGTGAATGCTGGTTTATATGACAGTAGTGCTCTAAACTTTCTTGAGTTAGCTGACTTGATTGCATTTTTGAGGCTTTGAGGTGATGGAATGGTCATGTGCTTTTATTTTAGTGTAAAGATGTGGTGATAACTGCAGATTTGTTGTGCTGGTTGTTGCCTCCGTTTCACCCAAGCATACACTGGTACGCAGTACTGGTACGAAGGCAATTCGGGGGTCCTCTCTAAGGGACTTAGGGTTGAAGGCAATTCGGGGGTCCTCTCTAAGGAGGTAAAGGGCTTAACTGACTTTGATCATCTTAATCAACCAAAATCCCTAAACCTCCTACAGGGGTCTGGCAGAATCCCAGAGATGGCTGCTTCCCCAGTTCATAACAACTGATAGTTACAGCACCTTATATGTAAGTTATATATACACTCACCAGCCACTTTATTAGGTACACCTGTACAATTGTATGTATTTCAGTGCAGCACTTCCACCTTAACATCTGTGTTTATGAAGCTCAAAATGTTTTAGTTTTTGGTGAAATTGTCATAAATGTATAAATCCAATTATATGTTTATTATTGATGTCACAGTTAAAGGTGGTGTTCTACCAGACTACATTATATTCAGGGGTATTCCTAATATTCTGACCCTCTCATGTATGTAGCTGGGGAGGACAAAAATATAGAGACACCTCTAAATATAATGTAGTCGAGTACAACATCACCTTTGTTGAATTGCTAGTATAGTGAAGGACCCTGGACTTCCCCTCAATTCTTTGGATTGCATCAGTCACTCCTAGGTTGACAATAACCTGAGATTTCCCACAGCCACACACAGGGCAGTGCTTTGTCTCTAGGGTGCCTCACCTGTGTGAATCCAGGAGGATAGGGGTGGAAGTGTCTGTTACCTTAGACACATAAACGTGTACTGTATGTACATTCACAGTTGCACAGTGTTATCTAACCAGGTGAGACTGAGAGCCACAGTGCTGAAAGTGACAAAGGAGGGAAAGCAGACCTCTCACATTGACCTTTGTTTAGCTAAAGGAACAGACACTTTACATGAATCTCTAGGTCCTGCTCTTGACATGAAACCTGTTATGTTATACTAATGTATGGTGGTAGGTTCCCAAATGATACATAATAAAGCATAGTATATTGTTTTCACCAAATGGTTAGAGCATTGCATTTCTACAAAACCCAACACCATGTTTTAATATAACTGAATTAAAGCTGCCTGGAGCAGCACCAGTTGGCCTTGCTAGCTTTCCCCATATTGAATGTTGTGCAATGAGTACAAATATTTACATTTATTTTTGTTCAGTCTCCATTGTTTTTGTCTGTCCTTTGACAGTGGGTACAATAATCTCTAAAGGAGAGCCACACAGGAGGTCCTGCAGCAGGGGGTCCAGTGGTATCTTTACATATGGACACTCCAGATTATTTAATCCCCCATGGACTAGTGAGGAAGAGAGATATTGCAGACATTAGCCAGACAAGAATTTACTGTTCATGGCCAAACCAGGATGTCCGTCTATCAGATTATTAGGATATGAAGTGTTCATAGCGTCAAAGGTGCAGCAATTAAGAGATGCACAATCATGCCAGGTGGAGGTACAGAGGATTCACTGTAAAGCTGATATATGTTTTGGCAAATGGACATCTGATGACTGTGTGTGTTGATGTTTGTATCATAAGAGAACAAGGAAATAGCAGTAAAAGTATTGGAAAGCTGCTGAATTTCTGTATTAAGGTTTTGGTTGAAGAAGCAAAAAAGTACAATAATAGCATGTGTTTACATGGCATTGATTCCATCTTATTCAGTGAAATTACTACACTCCCCCTTGAAGTGCAAGTTCAAGGACATACTGTATATATCAGTTATATTTGTCTTTTGTTTTCCCTTCCAAATCTGTCCACCAACCACTTCTTTCTCCTGCATTCCAACAGTTGGTCCAAGGGGTAATGAAGACCAGAAGAGGTTGACGGTCCACTACACGACCTCTCAGCACTACCAGGACAATGTTTTCATTGAGGGCAACAGGCCACAGTACCTGGAGGACCTGCACACTGAAGCTCAGGAGGGACTCAAGATACTACAGCAGGAAGGTCAAACACATCCAGCTCATCTATACAGTGCATATGAAAACATGTATTCATAATGTGTACTCTTGCTAGCATATATTTGTGTGTTTTTGTCACACTTTATATAGCAAATACAATCAAAATAATTAAATTGTGTTGATGGCCATTGTAGTTTGTCCATCGTTTTATTTATGATTGCATCCCTAAATTTGGATACTATATATACATAATTATGGATTCCAAGTGTATGCTGTGTCTTAACCTTGTCAGTTTGGTTTACACAGAACACATGAATGGAGTGAATTTTCCTGATGATGAGAGCATTACTGTAAGTCCACCGGCCCTCTGTAGATCATATTTCCTGTCGTTCTGACACACTAACAACAGTACCAAACTAAATGCCACCGTGTGTGTATCTGTGTGCGTGTGTGTATCCCCTGTAGTCCACAGACACTCTCCGTCCAGACCAAGATATCAGCTCCAAGGACAGAGGTGGCTCTCCATCAAGATCCATTGACGGGAATACTGATACTACAGTAACTTCTGTTCTGTCCACAAGGCCTGTGATCACACGCCAAGGTAAGCAACAGTGCCTGAGTTTACAGTAATTTGTCAAAGGCATGTACTTTAGCATGCACATCTCATTCCCATCTGCTTGGTGCTTCTGCAGTTATGATGTGAAATCAAAGGAACTTGACACGCATGCACACATAGCTAATGCTTTTTAAGGTTACTCCAAAGTATCTGAAGACATTAATATGGCTGCTTCTGCATATCACATCTGAAAGGCAAAGCTTGCCATTTTGCCTGTGAGTGTGTGCACACAGTGTGATTCATGTTCTGATCGTATTTCACACATCCTTTTTAAAGCGCTCAGGAAAAGCCAGTTCATCAATATACTTTACTGTTTCAGTGCATTACAGTGCATTGCTCCTGTTATTTCACTACTGTTATTTTGTGCTGCTGTTTCTTTGCAAAAACACTCCTTCTCAAATTCAGTTACTGTAATGAGGTAGTTTTCCCTCCATCTCTCAGGTTCTACATTCAAGCCCTTGAACCCAGTGAAAAGATTAGAAAAGGGCAAGAAGAGGAGCAGAAGGACCACCATCATGGGCATCCCCAACCATGTCCAGAAAGAACTTGGTATGTCCTTCAGCATCATCCTTGCTTATTACAGTGTAGCCCTGGTAGTAAACATGTTATTGACATGATCCACCACCTTTCCAGTGGTGCACAGAAGCTCCACCTTCCAGCCACTTGTTACTACCCAGCTCTCTAATCATGACGAACAAGTCAGTGACAGTCAATCAGGTGTTGTTATCATTCTTACGGTTGATGGAGGGACTCCAGTAGCAAATAAGGAGGGAGCAAGAGTGCACCTTTCAGAACTGGAGGTAAAATGTGTTCACTCAATCATTTTAATCTAAAATGTAGGCTTTGTGCTTTTTTCACTGATGAATATTCTCCACTCATAAGCTGGAATCTGGAGATGAGCAACTGCTGTGGAAGAAACTACAGGCAGTGTACCAAGATGAGCCATCCTTCAACCACCAAGGTTCTGGTGCCCATCTCTGCTCCACATCCACCCTGAGACCCAAGTCTGTTGCTGTCCCTGGAATGACCGCTTCATCTTCCTTCTGCCCTACAACAGTGCTTAGCTTCTTCCAGGAACCCCAGGTCAGAAGGAAATCAGACTGTTACTTCAGGAAATGTTTTCAAACTTCAGGATTCAATCTGGTCCTGTCCTAACCATTTTTAATATTTAAATGTGAAATTCCTATTTGGTTTTTTTCCCTAGGGCCCAGTCATGTCCATATCTCCTCAAGCAACCTACTTGTCTACGATTATCCCAAATGCGGTCTTGCCAGCTTCAGTTGAAGTCATCGAGATTAATCGCAGCAGCAGCCATATTCATTGCAGCAGTGTTCGCCCTGTAAGCAAAAGCAGCCTGGCATCTGGGGACTCATCAGTCGACTCTTTGCTTGTCAGAAGATCTGATGGTGACAGTTCCCAGAGTGACCATTTACAAAACAACCCCACACCGATGTCCACATCAGCTTCAGGATCAAACTGGGGCGAGTCACAGTCTTCAAAGACCCTTGTTTCAAACTCACCCATTTCCTCTAAGGGGAGCATATGCTCCCAAAGGGTGGGTCTGGATGGGGACCAAGACCTTGTCAGTCTAGATAGCTCAGTTAGCATGATTAGCAGCCCGAGCAGTAAAAGTAAAAATGTTGTTACAGGACCAGGGTCTGAGTCTGGTGTGTCAGGGTCAGTAACTGCTGGGGAAGAGGCAAAGGACAGGCGCAACTTCACTCGTAATCTTTCGATTATGAAAACCAAGCAACCCCCAGCACCTCCAAGGAGAACAAACTCTCTACATAGTAATAACATCAGGAGCAACTCCAGGGTTCTGCTGGATTGCAATGACTTTGTGTCCAGACAGGCTGCAACTGCTATAGAAAATATTGTAGGAAAGGATGAGATTAATATGGCTGCTACAGATATCAGTCTGCTCCTCATTTCTGGATCAAACACTGCAGTGTCCAGCTCTGCAGATGCTTCCTCCAGTCTTGTAAGCCCCACACAGGCCTCCTCCGTTATGGCTGGAGGAAAAACACAGCCACAGCCAGAATCCAGCAACTCTTCCCCACAGAAAACTCCCTCAGACAGGGGAAAATTTGAACGGACCATGTCCCCTTCCAGTGGCTACTCCAGTCAGAGTGGAACTCCGACACTTTCCCCAAAAGAGATCTCCCCACCCTCCCCAAACAAACAGAGGAAGAAACCAGCCAAACCAGAGAGATCAATGTCTCGGGCATCATCCACAGCAGCTTCTCCTTCCTCCTCTCTTACATCTCTCTCATCTGGAACCTCTGAGTATGTCAGTACAGATATCTCCACACACAGTACCAGTCTGCCTCTGCAGGAATCTCCAACTGATACTGTCGCAAAAGAATTCACTACAAATTATTTCACAACTTTGAGAGAAGAATTCAAAGAGCTGATGGATATCCCACCACCTCCAAAAGTCAAAGCACCATGCCCTCCTCCTCCAGAGACATGGGTCCACAACAGACACACTTTTGAGCTTCTGTGTGGGACTTGCCCCAACATCGGTAGAGTAAACCAGAAACCAGCACAGACAGAGGGCAGTACAGTTAAACAGAAAGGGACAGGAACCCAGACTGAAGTTAGCAAAGAGATGCAAGTTTTAGTTGAAAAGCAGACACCTAGAGAAAATTCACCCTTAGAGTTGTCAGAAAGCAAAGCAAAGCCAGAGACATCATTAGCAACAGGTCTTGAAGGTGTCCACAAGGAGCTGGAGGGTAGGGAATGTCCACATACCCAACAAGAGAGAGTGGAAACAAGTGCAGACCTTCAGGGACAAGAGCAGAAATGTACCCATGTAGTAAAGGACCTTGTGAATCCAGAGAGAACTCCAAAGAAAGATCGCCCTCCTGTCATGAAGAAGCCTATCACAGTACTGCACAGAGAAGAGCTGGTGTCAACACAGGGCTCAGTGGAAACAAGTTGTGCTGCTACAATAGAAGTTCATTTACCTGTTGACAACAATACAACCTCTTCAGAGAATGAGGTTACGCTTTTAGATGATAAAAGTGAAGTCACATCCATGCAGAGGGTACAGGAGGAGATGCATGTTGTAGAGTCTTGCTGGCCACCTCCACCACCTCCTTTGGAAGGGGACTCGGTCTTTGATGGTGGGGATGAGATAGACTTTCCTCCTCCTCCACCCTTTGTGGCAGATGGTGTTCTAGATGTGATGGACAGTTTTATGACAAAGCTGGATGTCTTAAAAAGGCCAACGGAAGATGAACAGATAGTTGTGGATTCAAGTGAAGCTGGGGCGTCTGTACATGGACAAATTCCAGATTTACCACCTGCTGTGCCACAATCATCTGTAAATGCAAACAAACCAGAGGGTGTCTTGCAAGTTTTAAATGCTAACATTACTGATGAGATTTCTTGCCAACCACTGCAAAATGTTTCAGACAGTATCCCACCTCCTCCAGTGGAAGCACCTCCTTTGCCACCTATTACAAGAGCAGAAAATCCAGTAATCATCTCAGCTTTAGTTCCTTCCCACGGTTTCCTGAGGCGAGGCTCTCTGAAAACTGAAGATCAGACTCCCTCCAAGCTTCCCATCAGTACCCAGCTTGAAGCTCCAATTATACTCCCAGTAGCACCTTCTCTGTCAGCAGATAATTTAACCCATGGTGTTCATTTCAGAAGGCAGCCCAGTGAAGCAAACCGAGATGCCAGGAGCAAGGAGCTTCAGTCCCGCCACAAAAGTGCACTCATTCCTAAAGAGGATGCCCACATACCTCTTGTCACCCCCTCCCTGCTTCAGATGGTTCGTCTCAAATCAGTCAATATGACTGATGATCAGGTGAAAGCTCTCTCAGAGGACAAGCCAACGAATGAAGGAGCTCCAGTTCAGGAGAACTGCCCAGTCTCAATCCCAGGACCTCAAAACATCCCACAAAAGCCAATCCGAAAGTCTCTGTCTCTAAAGTCACCACCCCAGACAGTAAAAACATCATCTGTGACACTAAATACTCCTTCCATGCGCTTACAGGAAGCCATACGTATGAAGACTGCAGCCATGTCCTCGAGAGACAACCTTCCATCCAGACTGGGTGTGAGATCACCCATTTATAGTATTGAACCAGGAGCTGTGTCTTTGAAATCACCTGAAGGACATGACATGCACAAATCCCCAGCCTCTACTGCCAGCTTTATCTTCTCCAGGAGCACAAAAAAGGTTGTCATAGAGACTGCCTCATCTCTGGATGCTCAGGCAAGTCTGACACAAAGCTTAGCCACTGAGCTAATGCAGGTTTCTGACCAATCAAGGGGTGCTGCTTTCTCCAACAGTGGGGTGAAGTGTAACAAAATTCCTCCGCCAGTAGCTAAGAAGCCATCTCACAGTAGCATCAGTCCTTCACAGAATCATCCTGCTAATCCAGGAAAGATGGAACTCAGTCTTGAAGGCAGTGGAGTAACAGGACGAGTACAACATTTGAGTGGAATAACACCTCCTGACACAAGTAAGAGCATCTGCATTTTTGTACACATGATTTTCTGTCATAATCTTTGTGAGAGTAGGATTATCCATGTCTTCATAAGTGTGTTTCAGTGAGTGAGTAAACTCATTAACACCGATTCACTGCTAGCATAAATCAATACCTCAAATCCCATTCTTGTCATGAAAAAGCAGAATGCATATGCTACCATTACCATCATGTTTAACAGCTAAGCAGTTTAATGGTGCTTTAAAAAGCACATTTTGTGCTCTCTGTACCATCAAGAGAAAAGTGCACACACAAGCTCCCTCCCACACAGTATGCTTTGGTCAGCCTTAACCTGAAGCTCATGATCATGTCTCTGTAACTGAATTAGATTAGTACAGAATACTCATTACGTGTTCCCACAAGTGTATCATGTCAGTGCCATAATGTCCAACATCCTCTCGTTTCCCCCTCCCCAGCTACAAGAGTGACGACAGACACAATTGAAACACTGTTTTGAAAGAGCCTTGTGGTGATTAACCAAGGGACCAGACTGATGTCAGATGAACAAGCAAAGACTACAAACAAGTAAAAGGACAGCTCACAGCAAGGACCAACATTACTCAACTATGCGAGTGTTGTTGTGTTAAGTGTTCTCCAAAAGCCTTAGCCTGCACTGGCCTTCCTACATACAGTATTTATGCAAAAAAGGTATCACTCCCAATTTCTTGTGATAGCTTTATTCTGGAGTATTTTTCTAGGCTATAGTTTATCTCCTAATACAGCCCCTCAGGATGAAATGGTGTACATTGGCTGACACATACATGTTTGGCTGTGTGAGATCACCGCTGAGAGGATGAATTAGGTAGTGGTCACTGCAGCTCAGAGAATTTAAAGCTCTTTTTCCACATTTGTAATATAATAAATCATTTTCATGGGAATTTTAGTAGTTGTCAGAAAAGGCCGACAATGACACTTACTACAGAGCAAATCAGCATTTTATCACTTTATTAAAGATCTGAGTAAAATTAATTGTCCCACTTAGTTTCAGTCCTGTTTATCCTAGTGTAAATACATATATCTGGAATTATTTGAGAAAAAGGGATGCTGCATACTCTCTCATCACAACAGATGTTTTGTCAGTTAAGACGGAGGCACGTTTGTGAACTGTTAAGACTTAACAGAGAAAAGTCTCTGGTTACAGCAACTGCTGAAATATCAGTCAGATGTTTCTGCATAGTCTCTGCTTGGGTTTAGTAAACATCAGCCCAAAACAAACCATGAAGATTTTTTTAGGAAAACAGTATCCCAAGTTTGCTATTTATGTGTTTCCACTAGTAGCACTGTCAGTCACCTTTTCCTACCAAATATGAAATATTAAAAATCTATATCATTTGAAAACCACTTTTAGTGATACACTGGAGTAGACTTGGTGGGAGGTCAGTGTTTTTACTAAATGTTCTGGATCAAGTTTTTTGGGCCAAGCCTCAGCTCATCGCTATTTGCACACAATGCTTTTCCCAAGCAAAATCATTGGTGAATGAATTATACTGACTCTTAGTAATGGGTCCAAAGCAATATATAAATTTTGAAGAATTATGTACAGTTATCACTTATATAAATAAAATCAATGTATTGACAATGCTTTCCTGCTTTTGATCTTTAATAATGCAAAGACATCTAGTGCCCCATACATTGTTACTTAACATACCACTAGTTCTGCACATTTCTCACAAGACAAGAAAGTTTAATTCCTGCAGATGAAAGAATTCATTTATTTCATGTTAGAGATGATGCATTAATTGATTGCTGAGACAACTGTGAGATACTGATTTCTATACATTAGCCCCAGAACAACCGTCCCATAGTGTAAGAGAATTACATATTTAAACACATCTGATGTCTGAAACCGATGAAAATCTCTTATTGATTATGTTTAGCAGATTGGCCACCACCCTGACATTTCCAGTGAAGGCAAACAATATAGAAGGATGATTTTACCCAGGACAATTGCTGAAACATTAGGTCCCTTTTTAATCACCTAAAATTCCTTATCAGCTAATCCCATGAATGAGCAGCATTCAAGTAATCAATCCTGCTCTCTCTAAACAGGCCCAGCTATCTACAATTTGCACAGCATGTGTTGTATTTGTACATTGAAGTGCATTAGTACAACAGCTGGTAAACAAAAAGAAATCAATTAAATCATAGGTTGATTACATCATTTTTGTTGTGACTTGTGTTTATAGGAATGAGATATTTTTGCTAATAAAATCTAAGCGAGTCCAAAGCTTCTGAAACTTTTGGCCTCAATATTCCATCATTTTCCAAGAAACACCCAAATGAAGTTTGACATTGTTGCCATGGCAACTTGGTGACAGAAGCAGTCTTGTAACGTGGAGAGCAGGAGTAGCTTCGGCGGTGAATGTAATGCATGTGTAATTAACAAATATTGCCTCCTTTGAGTGTCTTGCATGTGATCTGTCCCAGTTTGGTCATCAGCTGCTTGTCCCTCCACTGAGCTACACACTCGTCTGAGATCTTCAGGTCGACCTGGAGATGGAACGAAACATGGCTGCAGTCATCATGTAGCATATCACCTGACAGATGGATGATATTACTCCAAGATGGCATTATTTACACATTAATCTACATTTTAAATTTTGAATTAAAAACACAACTGGTATAATTTGCTGTATTCCAAGTATAATGTATTACATTTTTACAGCATGTGGCTTAGTAAGTCATGACAGTGAGCCAGTGTGCACAATACCAGGTACCCAGCCAGATTACTGGAATAACCTGATGTCAGTTTATTATTTACACCTGTGCTTCTCTTGCTGTAACATTAAAATCAGATTGAAATGTACCTGAAGTTTCTCCCACACCTTCTTTGGATTGAGTCGATCATCGGGTTTACCTGTCTCATATCCCTCTACAAAGACCCATTCCCCTGGCAATGAACCCTCTGGAGGGTCCAGAGGTTCCACCCTCCTAGGATCCCCTTCACTACAAATCAGCCAGTCAGAGAAAGTGAAGAAATGAACAGCTAAGACTGAGGGGTCTAGCAGTATTTGTCGTTGTTGCAAAACAGAAAAAAAATACTCACACAGAGGCGCACAGCAGTAGGGCTTGAGACTCAATCCCTCGCATCTTCTGTGGTTTCAGATTGCACAGCACCAACACCATTCTGTCCAACAGGTCCTCCTGGGGAATGTAGGCCACCAGTCCGCTGACTACCGTCCTCGGCTCCGCCTCACCCACATCTATCTTCTCTACATACAGGGAATCAGCATCTGGGTGCTGAAAATAGTAAAGTAAATAAAAAACTGAAATAAAAGATATTTATCAGCTGATCAGACGTCATATGACCATCTCAATCTGCTACCTTGTCCACACTAATGACCTTGCCCACCCTGATGTCCAGTCTAGAGGGGGCCAGGTCATTGTCCCCTCCTCCTCCT